GTTTCCACTCAGGGACATATTTTTAGGGTGGAACACCAGAGATAAATAGGAGGTACCAGCAGCTGAGAAAGAGTGATAGTGCGATTGTCCTGTTAAGGAGCCGAACGAACCAGGTGCGGGTATCTGGTTGTTAGTGGGAACGTAGTGGAAGAATGCAATGGATCCTTTTGGATAGAAGTCGATGGGTTGGTATCGTTGTGTTTGAGCGCTTACCGCTTGAGTAGGCTTAGTATTGTTTGTGTGTCATTCTTGATGTAAAATACAGGAGATGGGAGTTGTGATCACAGATTCGGAGAGCTGCACTTTAGTTATTAAGCCTATAAGGAGTAATCTTGGTATTTTCCTCTGAACAATTTGGAGCCTACGGGGTTCTAGGCATCCGTTCCTTTAGAAAATATTTCTGAGTGCTTGCCATGGGCAAGACACTATTCTAGGTGCTGGAAATTAGCAGTGAGCAACACAGGTCTTGCTCACAGGGAACCTGCATTCTAGTGGGAAGAGACAGGTGAAGTTGCCATGCATTTCAAATAGTGCCAAGTGCCGTATAGAAAATGCAGCAGAGTGGTGGATACGCAGTGACTGGGAACAGGGGGCCTGGAGGGAGGGGCAGCAGGCTGCTTGAAATAACGTGGCCAGGAGAAAGGCCTTTTGAGAAGTGAGAGCTGAGTGATGGGTCAGAAGGAGCCAGCAGCCACAGGAAGAACAGGGAGCAGAAGGAACAGTAGTGCAGAGGCTCAGAGGCAGGAAAGGGCTTGCTGGGTTCCCAGAATGGAAAGAAGGCAAGGTGGGGAGGTGTGGCATGAGATGGCCTTGGGAAGATGGGCAGGGCCAGAGTGTGGAGAGCCCTGCAGGCCACATTAAGGAGTTTGAGTTTATTCTCAGGACAGTGGGAACCCACTGGAAGGGTTCAGGCAGGAAAGTGGCATGATCTGACTTACCCTGTCTGAAAAGTTGCTCTGGCTTCCTTGCAGCGAATGGGCTGTAGGGACCATACTACCCTTTTCATGGCCCTGGTGACATGTTTCTTTTCTTTTTCTTTATTTAAAAATTTTTTAAAATTTCAGCATATTATGGGGTTACAAATGTTAAGGTTACGTATATTGCCCTTCCTCCCCTCCCCCTCAAGTCAGAGCTTCAAGCATGTCTATACCCCAGATGGTGTGCATGGCATTCATTATGTATGTTATACCCATCCCCCCCCCGACCTCCCGACACCGATTAAATGTTACTCTGGTATGCCAGTTATGGTGTCTTGATCAGTGAAACCAATTGTGCTGGTGAGTACACGATGCTGCTTATTTTCCATTCTTGGGATACTTCACTTTAGAATAGGGTTCCAGCTCTATCCAGGAAAATACAAGAGGTGCTATATCACCGTTGTTTCTTACAGCTGAATAGTACTCCATGGTATACATATACCACATTTTATTAATCTACTGATGTATTGATGGGCACTTCAGTTGTTTCCACATCTTTGCAATTGTGAATTGTGCTGCTATAAACATTCAAGTGCAGGTGTCTTTTTTGTAGAGTGTCTTTTGTTCTTTTGAGTAGAGATGCCCAGTAATGGGATTGCTGGATCAATGGTAGATCCACTTGTATTGCTTTGAAGTATCTCCATATTGCTTTCCACAGAGGTTGAACTAGTTTGTAGTCCCACCAGCAATGCAAGAGTGTTCCTATTTCTCCACATCCACGCCAATATTTGTTTTGGGACTTGTTAATAAAGGCCATTCTCACTGGAGATAACAGATATGTCATTGTGGTTTTGATTTGCATTTCCCTGATGATTAGAGATATTGAGCATTTTTTCATATCTTTCTTGGACATTATTCTGTCTTCTTTTGGGAATTTTCTGTTCATGTCCTTTGCCCACTTTTTGATAGGGTTGTTTATTTTTCCTTGTTGATTTTCCTGAGTTCTAAATAGATTCTAGTTATCAGCCCTTTATCGAACATGTAGCTTTCGAAAATTTTCTCCCATTCTGTAGGTTGTCTGTTTGCTCTCGTGACAGTTTCTTTGGCTATGCAGAAGCTTTTTAATTGATCCAGGTCCATTTATTTATTTTTGTTGTTGCTGTGATTGCCTTTGGGAGCTTCTTCATAAATTCTTTGCCTAGGCCAATGTCTAGAAGAGTATTGTTCTAGAAGAGTATTTCCAACATTTTCCTCTAGGATTCTAATAGTTTCACACCTTAGGTTTAAGTCTGTTATCCAGCGTGAGTTGATTTTTGTCAGAGGTGAAAGGTGTGGATCCTGTTTCAGTATTCTACATGTGGCTATGCAGGTTTCCCAGCACCATTTATTGAATAAGGATTCGTTTCCTCAGTTTATGTTTCTGTCTGCTTTGTCAAAGATTAGTTGGCTATATGAGGATGGTTTTATTTCTGGGTTCTCTGTTCTGTTCCACCTGTCCAATGCCTTTTTGTGCGAGTAACAAGCTGTTTTAATTACTATGACCTTGTAGTATAGTTTGAAGTCTGATAAATTGATACCTCCATTTTATTTTTTGTTGTTGTTGCCGTTGTTTTTTGGTTTTTTTTTGAGACAGAGTCTCACTTCGTTGCCCAGGCTGGAGTGAGTGCTGTGGCGTCAGCCTAGCTCACAGCAACCTCAAACTCCTGGGCTCAAGCGATCCTACAGCCTCAGCCTCCGAGTACGGATACAGCATTGCCACCATAACCCGGCTAATGTTTTTGTTATATATTTTAGTGGTCAATTAATTTCCTTTCTCTATTTTTAAGTAGAGATGGGGTCTCACTCCAGGCTGGTTTCGAACCTCCTTAACCCGAGCAAACCACCAGCCTCGGCCTCCCAGAGTGCTAGGATTACAGGCGTGAGCCACCATGCCTGGCCCCATTTTGTTTTTATTACCTAGGATTGCTTTTGCCATACAGGGTCTTTTCTGGTTCCATACGAAGTATAAAATTATTTTTTCTATATCTGTGAAAAATTATATTTTAATATGGATTGTATTGACTCTGTGATCCTTGGGTAGTATAGACATTTTAAAATGTTGATTCTGCTGACTAGCAAGCATGGTATGGTCTTCCATCTGTTTACATCTCTGCTATTTCCTTCTTCAGTGTTTCATTAGTTCTCGCTGTAGATCTTTTACCTCCTTAGTTAAATATATTCTAAGTACTTTATTTTCTTTGTTGCTATTTTGAAGGGAATTGAATCTTTATTTGCTTCCTTATGGCTATTATTGAGTCTTATGATGTGTTCAGGAAGAGGTGTTACTCTTTGTTAACTCTATGATTGGGTATCTTAAAAAAATCTTATCTAGAATTTGAAAGGAAGTGTGGTTAAAGCTCTGATTGGTAAAGTAGCCACTATTGCTCATATTAGACAAGAGAGAGAGGTGTTTCATCAGTTGCATAGGTTAGACAATGTCCATATTTCTGTCTGCATTCAGATGTTAATGGAAAAAGATCCAATCTCTGTAAAATGATTTAAAAAGGTTTATTCTGAGCTGAATGTATGCCAGCCCAGAGCACATGGCCTTAAGAGGTCCTGAGAAAATGTGCCCATGGTAGCTGGGTTATAGTTTTGTTTTATACTTTCATGGTGACAGGAATTACACAAAGACCCTAAGTCAGTATATGGGGGTGGCTGTACCTTGGTTTGGCCTGAAAAGGTGGGACATCACAAAGCAGGAAGGAGGGGGGCTATAGGTTATAGATGGGTTTAAAGATTCTTTGATTTGTATTGGTTAAAGAAATGAAGCTTTGTCTAAAGACATGGAAAGTTTTAACTTAAGAATATGTGTTAATCAGAGTCAAGCCACCAGATATTTACCAAAACTCAAGCAATCTGTTAAGTAAATAAATGGATGGCCTATAGGTGTGGTTGAGCTTTGTCTTGTATAGCCTTAGGCCTGTTAATGATTTAGTGTCTTACTAATATAAAGAATGCTATTTCCAAAAAGGGTGGGGGGCATGATGAAGCCTGTCTGACCTCCCTTCTCATGGCCAGAAACCCAGGTTTAAGTTTTTGGGAGGTTCCCTTGGTAAAGAGGGGGTACATTCAGTCAGCTGAGGGGCTTAAGGTTTTATTTTCATTCACAATCCCCCATTTTTGGCCAAGATCTTCCAGACACAGCACTGAGGACCAAACTTCTATTTTGTCCCATTGCTGCTGGGTAGTGTGGATACCTGTGTCAGGCCCATCCAGGCCCTCGGTGAGATCCCTGTGGCCAAGGAACTTACAGCTCTGGAGATGAGGGGAAACTTCCCTTTCTCTGAAAGGTCACTGAACGATCAACTCATAACTAAGAAGGATTAATAAGAAAAAGAGGCTTACTGACTATACCCACAGGGAGAATCACAGTGATTACCCAATATCCCAGTGGGGTCCAGAGATTTTTATACCCTCCTTTTAGAGACAAGGGGGAGATGAGGAACTAGGTAATTCTGTTTAGGGGCAATAAATGGTTGCAAAGGAGAATGAATGGATGCCAGAAAGAGATTGACTTTGTAAATGAGTCTCTTTGCAAATTAAATTAACCTGAGAGACAGGTATTATATTTTAAATGATCTTGGCCATGTCTGGTTGCATTCTTAATCTTCTTTCCTGCACTACTTTAAGATAACAGGGAAGGGAAGGGAAGGGAATTTGTTCTTTTTCATGGGTCCATCTGGTTTATGCAGATAGAAGGAAGCCCCTTCCAACACCCATTGATCTCTAAGGGCCTTTAATTCAAAATATTCTTTTTTTTTTTGAGACAGAGTCTCACTTTGTTGCCCAAGCTAGAGTGAGTGCCGTGGTGTCAGCCTAGCTCACAGCAACCTCAAACTCCTGGGCTCAAGTGATCCTCCTGCCTCAGCCTCCCGAGTAGCTGGGACTATAGGCATGCGCCACCATGCCTGGCTAATTTTTTCTCTATATATTAGTTGGCCAATTAATTTTTTTCTATTTATAGTAGAGATGAGGTCTCACTCTTGCTCAGGCTGGTTTCGAACTCCTGACCTCAAGCAATGCACCTGCCTCCGTCTCCCAGCAAAATATTCTTTATACCAAGGAGTCATATTCTGGGACGAAATTTCCTGAGCTCCTTCATTGCCCCCATCTGGAACTTCCCTAGAAATTTCGCTCATTAAAAGCCAAGCAGGTGACTATGGAGACAGAGATCTGGTTAGCAGCAGTCAAGTAACAAGAGAGCTGAAAAAAGAGACAAGAACATGGATTAAAATGAAAATAAATAAGTAGAAAAGAGCAGATCTAAATACATTTCTCCACACCCCATCAAACCTGTCTCCCATTTTGGGGAATAGGTCTTCATTAATCTGATGAAGAATATTTATCTTTTCTTTTAAGAGGTATAGATTAGTCCTTACTTGCCTAGAGTAGTTTCTGTAGAAATAGCATTTTTTTTGCCAATAACCACACAAGTTCCTCCCTGTTGAGCTGTCAGGGTATCCAGAACACAAGGTTTTGGAATACAACAGTGTCTAAGCTGTTGACTTCGAAGTGAAGTGTTCCCAGTGCTTGCAGAGTGACATTGAACTCTTGTTCTATTACCTTGGGAAGATTCAAAACTGCCTTTTCGATCGCATGAGTTCCGAATGCTGGGAAAAGAGTTCTGAGCACCAAAAAGCACTTAGAATTGTGACATACAGGTGATTTTTAAAATAATATAGCACCTAGCACGTTTATGTGGTACCACTTTATGAACAAAAGAGTCCAAGTTTGCAGTTCGGCTGGCATTTAAAGTGGAATACCTGGTAACAGAGATGTCAGATAACAAAGTCCATAGTGGCCTGGCCATCTAGGTAGGGACCACTGTACACTTTATCGCCACACACAACAAAAAGACCAGTGCTATTTACAGAGAGGGTCAGGTTGGAGCCTGTGACTTCCCAGTCTGGCCTTTGCTGTACTTCTTTCTCATTGGCGCTTCTGCATCTCCAGTTTCTGTTACAGCCCAACCAGGTTCCTTGCCTGCTGCTCAAGAGGAGGTCAACACGCTGAGACAGCAGGGGTTACAGCAGAGAAAGAGTTTTATTATCACAGGCACCATGAGGGGAGAGGGGAATAATTTCTCAAATCCATCTTCTGCAAGAATTTGTGAGAAAGGGTTTTTAAAGGTAGTTTGGTGAGCAAAGGGCTGGGGAATGGGGTCTGCAGATTGGTGAGGGATGAGCTCGTAGGGTTGGAATGCAGAAATTATCTTCTCAGTCGGTAGGTTTCCTGGGTAGAGACTTTCAAGGCTGTTGGATCCATTCCCTCGTCTATCCATGGGTCTGGTTGGTGTCAGTAGGTCTCCAGGATGCAGAGTCTAAAAAACACCCCAAAGACCACTCTTAAGATTTAAACAGCAATGGAGTCAAAAGTCTTGGGATTTACAATAGCAATTTTATCTACAGAAGTCGTGGGGGGAGTCACAAAACTTGTGCCTGTCAGAGAGGACAGTGCGATTGAGTAGTAACCAGTTACAGCAGCAAGGAAGTTAGGGAACAAGGGCTGGTTGACTTCTGGCTATATCCATACTTCTATAAAAATCAGATTTAGAATACGATTTATGCTTTGTGGCTTTACGTTATTTTAATATGGACAGTTTCATTTCCATGTGTCCCTGCCAGTCTGTGGGAACAAAACAGGTTGTGAAATATTTGATACAAAAGGCCTTTGGTCTGGTTCTGGCAGTTACAGGGCTTGGTTTTGTCACGAAACCAAGTCAGTCTGGACTTTTGGCCTGTCTATATGTGGTCATTAGTGGCTGGCAACTTAACAAGGGGAGCAAGCGAGTTACCCCAAGTTGCAGGGGCTTGTGAGCTGTTCATAACACGTGATTATTTAACAAGCGTTGACATCATGAGGGTATCAGACTCATCTAAGACGTGCAAGAATGCCATCTGTAAAATCAAACCATGGGGTTTGATCACAGTATTGCCCTAGAATGTCACCCAGACAAGATAAAAATTTTCTTTCTAGTGACCTTACCTGAGAGCAAAAGACACTTTTTCCATGTTCAGTCAACTCACCAACAGGACAAGTACCATAATACGTTTCCTCTGGTTGTGGGTGCCCCTTCTTGTCCTACATCCTCTTCCAGAGCAATTCCACCAGGTACTCACATTGGCAGAAACAACAATGAGGTCGGATTCCTTTGTATGGTCTGCATGTTGGCATAGCTAGCAATCAGATTGATCAGTTCCTGTGGCCAGGGCTAGAAAGACCGGTGCAAAGGGACGCAGGGTCTGTGTCTGACCAGCTGGAAAAGCAGTAAGAGTTAGCAAGAGCGAGACACGGTTTGAAAGAAAAGTCACAGTGGAAGATTAAAAGGGAAATTGGGATAGGTTGAGGCAGTCTCCATTCAGCTTCCAATGTGTAATCCTCGAAAGGGGAGGTTTAAAAGAAAGAGTATTCATAAAGGACCTTTTGTGTGGGGAGGAGATAAAAATAGAAACAAAAAACAGAAAAAAAAAGGAGTTTTTAGATAAAAAATGTGGTTTCTTCATCCAAAATATTGGGAAAAACCTATCTACTTACTGAAGATGCCTGCTTGAGGGGCCTGGGAATTAGACCTGGAAATTCTTACTTTCAGATCACCTATAGGGCTGGGCTTCCAGCTGTCTTGGTGCAGTTTGGTGTAGCTTGCATGACTCTGGGATAATTTTTCTTTTATTTTGATGGCAGTTTAGGTGGCTAACCGTACTTCATAGGGGCCTTGCTGGAGAGATGAAAGCACGTGTCTTCTTACAAAAATTCCGAAATATACAAAATCTCTTTGATCAAAAAGGATGGTAAAGCCTGTGAATTGGTGGAAGTCATGTTCCGTCAATCTACTGATGACATACTTCAAGCATATTAGTTACTGTTTGTAAACAGCTAGTCTTGCTACTGAAATGTACACTTAAATACCAACAGTGTGCACACACCGGAACTTAAGAAATTATTGCTCAAACACAAACCACACAAGAAAAAAGAACAAAGAAATACAATACACAAATATCTGTGAAAACCTGAATGCTTGAGTACCATGTATTTGCCATAACTCTTTACTCATAATGTATTGATGATGAACACAGATGTTTCAGTCCTCTAACCAGTTTAAATATAATTAATTACCAGACATATTCTAATTAAAAATGACTTATCTCTGAAAATAGGAGAGTATCCTGTGAATTATTCTTTAAAGAATGAACCGAACTGTGGTCTCGGGGTCAGTGTAGTGGATCAGAGTGTGCTGATTGTGGGCAGGACTGCACAGGGATTCAGCCCTGAGTCATTTCCCGCCTCTCACGTGTGCCTCAGGTTCTCTCTCCAGGGGTCTAAGACCTCCGGGAGGGCTCCAAACGCCGAGTGATCAGCCCTTATGTGCGTTTCCTGGACGAGCCTTCTTTTAATTAATCTTGCTGGGGATTCCCTCTAGGGCCAGTCACGCCAGGGGCAGTCACAGCAGGCACTCCCACTCGCACCCCACTCACCCAGGCGAACCTTCGGCTGGGACGGGTAAAGTGCCCTTTCTCTTCGGAGCTGAGCAACTCAGTCTCTCATTTCTCTACCAACAGGACAGTTCGGTTTCCTCTTTCATTTCACAAATGCACAGAATAGCCAATTCAGATCCATTTGGAGAGGAAGAGACAATGAATGGAGAAGACCCTTACAGAGCACCAGCAGTTTGGTGGCAGGCTCTGTAAAAAAAGCCATTTCTCCTCTTCTTTTGGTCAGTGGAAAATGAGTGTTTGATCTTTGTATTCTAGCTTGAACTGGCTGTAAGATTTCCAACTAGCCTTGAACTATCAACTGCTTAAAAGAGCAGTAGGCAAAGTTAGCAGGTTCAGAGGTGGCAGAAGAGAAAACGGAGAGACAGAGAGCTTGAGAGACTGGACATTTGAAATTCATAGTGGCAGGTTGACCACTTGAGCTCTGAATTTTCCTGCATGGAATTTGCCCTTCGGTTCAAAAGCATGCACAAGAGTTGGCCATGGCCAGCTACAGTCCAAGCATACCTGCAGGCTTGGAATCTTTGCATCTACACACATGCTTATGCAAATCCAGGTGCCCAGAACCAACCGGGGTGCCCAGATGGCTTCATTCTCCTTGCCTCTCCTCTCCTTTGCAGCATTGGTTTCCCTTTCTTCTTGACAAGAAGCAACCGAACTGTGGTCTCGGGGTCAGTGTAGTGGATCAGAGTGTGCTGATTGTGGGCAGGACTGCACAGGGATTCAGCCCTGAGTCATTTCCCGCCTCTCACGTGTGCCTCAGGTTCTCTCTCTCCAGGGGTCTAAGACCTCGGAGGGCTCCAAACGCCGAGTGATCAGCCTTATGTGCGTTTCCTGGACGAGCCTTCCTTTA